CTTCTTATATGACAATTTTCCCTGTTAGTCAACCTGTCACTAAAGACTGAGTTTGTTAATATTAGGTGCTATGATGCACACCGAGCATAGTGTTGGCCTATGGCAATTACCCAATTGCTGATGAGATACTGATTTTAGAACTACAAAATCATAACCAATAGAAAAGCCTTCGTCCCTTTATCTTGTACATATTAATATATAGATAATTTATGTAATCAATAGGACCATAGAGATCTAAAAGTGTATCTTCTAGATTGATATTCTTTAGACATACATGATTAGAATGTTGATGATTTGACAACAAAAACCCCCATCAAACCCAGAGTTGTACAACTACAGCTTTTCATTCAACCTCCAAAACAAAAGAAATTGATAATTATAAGAATTTAAATAGTTGAGAAATGATTGTACCTTAAATAAGAGATGTAGAAGTGAATCAAGCTGTTGAACTGAACAATTAAAATTGAGTATGCTTTAAAGCTAAGAAAAGGGCCAGGCAAAAGAGCAAGGATTCTTGTTGAATGAGCTAATAACAAAATGAGTGGTAAAAAGTCCAATCAAAAATCCTATTATATGCCAGCAGGACTTTTCTTTCCTTCTTTTTTTGGCCCTCTTCCTATGTGTAGCATAAGAAAAATGAGAGTTAAAACCCTACAATGAGAGCCAACAGTTAAAATCAACACTTTGATTTTTACACTCCCATGACCCTTTCCAGGTCAACCAGATAGCCACCATGCCAGTGTCCTTATTGCCTTTCAGTGATGCTGAGGTCTCATGCTGATGAGTGTCTTCAGTATTTTTCCCACTTTTCCTCCATGAGAACTGTTGTTTTCATATGTTCTCTCTTTGTTTCACTTAGAATTTAGACTTATTGACTTCTATCTTAGTTATCTGGATTGTAGACACAAAATTATGGCTCTGCAGGTTCCTTTTCTGGTAAAATCGAGTCCACGAGCAGTACACTTGGAAAGATCAGGGCACACATACCATCAGTCCTCCTGTCAAGGCCAGTGAATGGGAGGCATTCTTATATGTCTATGCTTCATGGGATACTCTTGTCATTTTGGCCTTTCCCTGACTTGATGGCCATGTACTGGCCTGGGGTCTTTCAGCTGTCAAGTGTTCAGTTTCTGAATAAATATTTATATTGCCACTATTTGGCGATTTTAAAAATAGCCTTCTGCTATATTCCATTTACTAACTGTTCTTAAAGCCATCCTGTTCCTCCCTGGTGGACCACTGTTTCTGTAGTCACTTCTCCGAAGCAGTGTGGATCTCTAACACTGAAAGCAAGAACCCCTTGATAGCTTGCTATGCTTTCTGAGTGTAGGGGAGAAACAGTTGCTCTCATGTTGGGCAGATTGGTGGTTAGTGCCAGATACACCATCCAGGTCTGTACCAGTTAAGAAGGACTAATATTGATCAGTTATCCTTTCTACACTTTGAAGGCTTAACATTTTTTTAAAGAATTGTTTATTTAATTTTATTTCTTAGTATTATTATTTTTAAATATTTTATTTAACTTGATTTATTCATGCATTCATTTTAATTTGTCCAGAAAGGGAGGGAGGGAGAAAGAAAGGGAGGAAGGGAAGGAGAGAGAGAGAGAAAGAAAGTGAGAAAGCAAGCCTCTAGGCCCAGGACTTGTACCACGGTCAGCCATGTGGAAGTCCAGTGTCCTTAACCACACCACCTGCTGGCTTAGTATTATTCTTTAAAAAAACTGCCATAGGGTAAGTGCGTTCACCAGAGAGAGAGAGAGAGAGAGAGAGAGAGAGAGAGCGAGCGAGCAAACTGCCAGGGTCTGGGACTCAAACCATGGTCAACCATGTGGGGAGTTCAATGCCCTAGCCACCACGCTACTTGCTGGCCCCCAATTTTTCTTTTTTAAGTTTATTTCTTTCATAAGTAAGAAAGACTGGGCAAAGGGGGCGAAGAGAGGAAGAGCAAGGAAATCCTCATAGGATTCTCATGCAGTAATCCACAGCCAGTCTCAGACGGCCTGGGTCCCAGGCATGTATGCATACCTAGGTTGCTCAGGAGGGTTTAGGGAACCTTCCCTGGGGGTCAGTCTTGCAGAGCATTATGTTACCACTGCACAACTGTCTGGCCTTTGAAGGCTTTTATAAGCCTCACAGAAAGTTACTTATGGTAATCTCAGTGTGTCAAAAGGGTCTCTGGAGTGATAGAGCTTTCCCTAGAGAATGTTTACAAAATGGGAAGTGAAAGCTCCATTTGTATCTTGCAATAATTCATGACATAAACTCCCAAACAAGCGGACATCTTGGGATTTAGATAAGAGTGCCATTAGAAGAGTAAAGAATTGGTGACTTCATGAAGAGACATTAGGCAGCGATTTTTGAGGAGACCGAAGCAGCTAGATTTTTATGCTTTTAGGATGTTGTTGCAGAGCACTCTTATATCCACTGTGGAAAAATTCGAAAAATGCTGAGAAGTACAATTACATATAATCTTCCATTTCTTAAAGGAGTCATCACCATTAAAATTTTGTAGTGTTTTTGCCGGTCTTTTTCTACAGACAACAGTCTTGCAGCACTAGAAGATTTGTATGTGATCTTGTGATTATGAGTGTTCCGTTCAGTATTGCAGCTTGTTGTCCCGCTAAGACACTAATGTGCATCATGCATGCTATGTGTTTTTGGGCACAGTGACCCCGGATGACCACAGAGCAGCCACTTCTCAGGGAAGCCTAGTTCTAATTGCTTTGAAATTTGGGAAAATGGTATGTGCTACAGTATGACTCAAGAACCTTGGGATTTGTAAGACTCTTAGAGGATATCCTCGATATCCTCAAAGAAGATCAAGGGTCTGTGGTGGTGTATGACTATGTATGTGTGTGTTTGCTTGTGTATAATCACATTACACAGTTACTACCCTGATTTCCTTCATTTAGTGTCTTATTGTAGACATGTTATTGTGTCATTAGATATTATTAAAAATGTGATTTGAAATGGTATATCACATTCCATAAGTAGCTCTCCTTTTTTTTTTTTTCTTTTTAAAAAAATCATTGGATACTTAGCTGGTATGTAGTTTATAGTGTTCCCACACCTTTTACCTAAGTCCTTCTTCCAGATTACGGTTCCTTAAACATCCCCTAGCAACCTATTTTTTTCCTTCCTTAAGTTGAAAACAACTATGATTAATTATTCATTTTTTTCAAGTTACATTTTGTCACAACTAATGGTGTGATGCATGTTTTTATTTAAACTCAGTATCATGTAAAATAATTAGATTGTTATATTTTTGTGTGTGTGTGCTGAATCTTGCTTTCCAGAAAGATTGTTTTCATTGACACACCTTTAGCAAGTTTAAACTGCTAATATGAACATACCTTCACCTATCATAAGTCTTATAAAAAACAATTACAGCAATTTGCCAACATAATTGTTTTTGTCTTTCTTTACTTGTGCAGTTTAATGTTTTTCTTCATATGAACTGTTTATTTTCTTTTATGAATTAAATCTTGTTCTTAGCCTATTTTTTTATTGAGAAATTAGTGTTATTAATTTGCAAGCACGTTTTAAAATCGTAATCAGAAATAATTGTCCTGGCATAAAAATAAAACATACCCACTTTTCTTCATTTCTGCTGCCTCCAGCCTAGGCAGAGCCACCATCGTTTCTCATCTGAATTGCTTCAGTAGCAGAATTTCTAAGAGGTTGGTGAGGATCTGCCTGAATTGGCCTCAGTCTACCTTTCTAGCTTTGCTTCAAGCCATTCTCCTCAGTTTTTTCAGACTTCACTTCTTTCACCACTCACTGTCCCCTCTCCCCACAAACCTTCACACATGTTCCTGTGTCTGACAAGCTTCATTTTTCTGTTTTCTTTCTCTCACTTTCTTTTTTTAATATATTTTTTTTTTTTTTGCCAGAGGGCATGTTTGCTTGCTAGAGACAGACAGAGACAGAAGGAAAGTGTGAAATTGCCTCTCCCAAAGGGGGGTGACCACTCCAGAATCTCTTTTCTTCCATCCTCCCCTTGGGATTTTGGGCATGCAGGCACATATGCCCAGTGTAATTTTCAAATCACTGAGTCTGGGCCTCAAACCACAGTTGGCCATGTGGACATCCAGTGCCTTAACCACTAAGTTACCTGCTAGCCCTGCTCCATCTTTCTTAACAGCTTTTCTCATGCACCTTTGCCTAAGTCCTTTTTCCAGTTTAGGGCTCCTTAAATCTCCTCTAGCATCCTATTCTTTCCTTCCTTATGTTGAAAAAAAACCCTGTGATTAATTCATACAGTTTTGCAAATTACATTTTGAAAAATCACCTGATTCTGATGAGGTAAGTAATTGACATGTATTATTTCTAGAGTTTTGTGAAGAAATGTATACACATACATATCTATGATGGAAAAATTACATAAAATGGAACTAGTTTCTTTGCAGTTTATGAAATGAATCATCCTTGAAGAGTGATGAATAAGACTCTGGGCTCTGGAGTCCTGGGACTTGAGTTGAAATCCTGGACCTATCAATTTATGAGCTATTGGATGAGTTAGTTGACCTTTCTGTGCCTCACATACGTCTTCTATAAAATGAGGTTAACTGATCTCTTATGATTCTTGCGAATATTGAATGAAGTAATTCATAAACTGCTTGGCGCATAGTATGTAGTAAGTGCCATGTAAATCTTGCTTTTCCTTTTCCTCTTCCCCATTGTCTTTATCTTTGAACTCTGATAGGTGCCAACAATGCAGAATGTAGTGCTAGGTGGTACCTAGGTTTCGGCATTCTTTCTAGGAAAAATCTCTCTGCTGGTTTTGAAGTGTTTCCTGTTAGATCATGGGTTTACTTCTGATCATAGTTCATGGAGCCTCTTTTGTCACATTGCCATTCTTCTCTGGAAGTTGATGAGATTTCCTTTGCTCCCAGAACTGCAATGAGTACCTTTTGTAAGATAATGTGGTTTATCTCGCCTCCTTTTCCGTAGTATAGTTTTTAAAGTGTTCATCTTCAGATCTGTTTTCTTCGACAGCTGGCAAACTTCCCCAGACTCTGTGAGGAAACGGAAAGGATCGTTGCTAACCACATTCGTGATCGAGAAGGGAAGACCAAGGACCAGGTGAGGAGAGGCCTTCCTGGGGAAGTCAGTCCTGTGGGAAGTAAAAGGTCTAAGGTTGCCTGGTTCCCCCAACAGCTGGCTTGTCCTTGAGTGGAAACAAAAAAATAATCCCAGGGTACACAACCAGATTATATTTATTTTTACATATTTATCAATTAGTATAGTATTATAATGCTAATAATTTACGGAGTTAGAAATATAAAGACTTTAGAAGAATGGAATTGAAAAAAAGTAATTGTGTGCATTCCGCAAATCCCAGGAGGAGAATGCTGGAGAAAGAATTGCAGCATGGCCACCCCCCACCCCCGGGGGAATGACTTTTCACTTTCTTTCTCGCTGTCTCTCTGTCTTTCTCCATCAAAGCACATGTGTCCTATGACAAAAACCTAAAAACAAACAAACACAAACCAGTAATTGGAGTTCTGTTATTTTTCTCCTCCACATTTTATAGGTCACCATATCTACCCCTAGTCTGTACATATCCCCTTTTTAAGCCACTAATCCAGAAACATACTACATTTTCTCTTTAAAACAGGGTCTTTAACTTTTAATGGGCCTACAGATGGGTTCCAGGGTATTCATTAACTCCTAAAATGTTAAATTCAATGTTTTTATTCTTATTTTAGAAGAGAATGGACATAGTGTTTCATCAGTTTACCCATGGAATCTATCATTGAAAAAAAGATTTCAGAACTAAAGTTTTTAATATTTCGACCTCTTTTGTTAACATACATGATTTGCGAGGGGTGACCTTGAAGTTGTCTTCCATCCTAGTTCTGTGATAGGGGATGATTATTTTTAAGAGCAAATATTTCATTTGAAAAAGTGAAGAACTAAATAAAAATAATAAATAACCCTTACATTTAAATGGATTTTTTCCTTAGTTACTTATAAAACAGTATAATGAAAAATACGAAGATTTTCAAATACTGTTAAATTCCATGACACAGCTGCAAGTGTGATGTGGAGAGGACTCTGGACTTAGGCCATGTGTTCGCCACAAAGTAACAGCATGTTCTTGTGCAAATCACTTTTTGGACCGTTCTTTCTCATGTTCAGCTCTGGAATGTTAGTCCGCATGATCTCTAAAGGCCTCTATAAGTTAGTATTTTAAGATTTTTGATTCTCCTGTGAGTTGGAACAAGGCAGGGAGAAATGGGGGAAAAGAGGAAGACAAGATGAAAGAGAGGGAGAGACAGACAAACCATGGTGGGAGGTATGGGAGGGAGAGGGGAATAGAGAGAGAGAGAGATCACAGGGAGAGAGACAGATACAGCAGTGGTGGAGATGGAGAACCAAAGTGTGGAGGCTCACCAGGTTGAAATGTTTTCAGGACACTCTCTCTGCTTGAGCTGTGGATTCTTTGTTAATTATTTTTATCATTGTGCTTTGGCAGTTAATCAGCCACTATTATAGTGTTCACTTGTTTTCCAGATCCCACACTCCTATACAGCTACAACAGCCCCTAGTGGAGAGAAGAGACTGTGATGTAGCAATAAACAAATTGATATTAACTCCTAACCTAGTGAAATCAAGCTGAGGGCCGGGTATACAGCCCCAGGACTAGAGGTTCTCTACACATTTACTGTCTTGGCTGTTGAGGGACAGAGAAAATCCAAGTTTTAAGGAATCAGCTGTACTTCTGACCTTAAATAAATCAGCTATTTTAATTTAGTATCTTTAGTCTATAGCATTCAAGTGATAATATATCCTACTTAATTTTTAGAGAGCCTAAGAAATAGTACAATTGCCTTTTTTTTTTTTTTAAAGAGAGATTTTTTGCTATTGGGTGAGTGTGTTTGCCGGAGAGACAGAGAAATAGAAAGCAAGAAATCACTCTCCAGGGGGCATTGGCACACTGCAATCTTTCTCCTCCATTCTCCTCATGTGCCCAGCGTGAGTTTTAAGTCACCGGGTCTGGGACTTGAACCATGGTCAACTACATGGGAGTCCAGTGACATAACCATTATGCCATCTGCTGGTCCCCAATTGTTAGTTTTTTTTTTTTTTAAACTTTTGTTGAAAAAAAAAGTAGCTATTTTTGCTATAGGGCATGTACATTCACTGGAGACACAGAGAAAGTGAGAAATCATCCCTCAGGGGAAAGGCCACGCTCTTCTCCATTGTCTTTTTGGGATTTTGGGCACATACGCACATGCACTTGGTGTGAGTTTCACGCCACCAGGTCCAAGACTCGAACCATGGTCAGCCACGTGGGAGTCCACATTTCAGAGTTTTTGTAAAATAGTGTCTACACATCGCTTTGTTGTTAAGATTATGGGCTCTGGGCTCAGACTACCTGACTTTGAATCCCAGCTGTATTGTTTGCTTTCTGTGTCATCTCTGGGAAGTTACTTGAAATCTTTATACTTCAATTTTCTTATCTTTTAAAGACAATTTGCAAAAGAGTGCATGCAGTCATCAGAGAGAGACAGAGAAACAAGAGAAAGCCCTCCAATGGTGTGTGGTGATGCTGCCATCCCTTCTCTTCCATTTCTCTATCCTGTCAGGATTTTAGACACACCCATACACACACATCTGGCATGTTTTTCAAGCCACAACAGAGATGGCCATAAGGGTTCCAGTTCCTTCACTACCAGGGCACAGGGCCGGTCCCTTCCTTACCTTCAAGTTGGATAATAATATAGTTGACTCAGCCATTTTGTGAGAGCAAACTGAAATAATGCAAATGTAGCTTTCTTCGTTCTTAACTGTTTTTGTTGTTATTCCCTAAAAGCTATGACACATAGTACGCATACGAAAGAATTGCTCTTCTGATTTCAAGGGAAATTGTTTTTATCTGCGGCTTCCTCAAGTGGGAGAAAAAGGACAGAGCAGGTGTCTTCCTACTGAATGACAAGCTCAGGTGGCTTGGGCTCACGGTTACCAACTGCCTGTAGAAGTTAGTAGTGGTCACCTTTAACATGGACCCATGTGGCCGAGTGCAACTGTGTACGTGCTTAGTGATGGAAAGAGCCATTCTGGATAGGTATCGCGCTTGAGTTTTGAGCTCTGTGGTGCGTGAGGCCATGTGGTTATTTTGAACTATCCGGTCAAAGAGTGTGACTGACATCCTCAGGCCTTTACACCAGTATTGCTCTGAGCCATTCTTCTTTTTTCTTTTTCCACCAAAAAAAAAAAGAAAAAAAAAAAAAAAAGAAAAAGAAAGAAAAGAACATAGAGGCATTATTACCAGCTTCAGCTCTGAAAGCTTTGTGGGGAAAAAAAAAAAAATCTTTGAAATTAAAAATATGGAAAGCTGTAAATGTGTCTGTGAGCATTTTCTTAAAGGTTTTTCAGACAGTGACATGTGCCAGCTATTATTCTATGTGTTTCTATCCATGTGATTACATATGGAGGTGGCTGGTTTTGTGGGTGATTACTGCTGCTGGAATAACTTAACTTTTCTTTAACAAAATATTCAGTAATTGTGGGTTTTTTAAAAAAAAAGGCAGGGGAGAAACTCTGAGAAAGTGAAAAAAGGATAAAAAATGTGCTGTTTTCCTTTTCGTCCCCCACATACGACCTGGCTCTTTTCCTGGGGTGAACACAGACTCCCAGTTTCCAGGAATATGAATGAGAACAGCCATAGCTTTTATTTTTTTCCCCACTTTTTTCCTTTACTGCAGTCCAAGTTAATGTGTGTGAATGTACAAAATCTTCGTGACAGCCCTTGGCAATGTCGAGGATTCTGTAGATATTTTGCTCCTCATGGTGGCAACAATTAATTTGTGCTTAAATATTACAGCTTATTGGTATAAACTATTGCCCCAGTGTATTTGGGAGTATAATATCTAACAGAACCTGGCTTTATTGTTGGGCAAAGAGAGGTAACACTGCAGCCAATTTAATAATGATCACTCCTCCTAATTTAATTCTTTATTTTTCTTCGAGAGATTAAACAGCTTTTTCATAAAAGTATGATGTACTGACCCAATAGCCCTGTTTCTTGACTTTATTTTTGGTGATGGGAATAAATTTGTAGCGGGCCCTTTTTAATTTAATTTTTTATTTTCTTTTGCATTTCCCCTTGTGACTCTCGGCCAGATTCGGTCAGATGACTTGCTGTTTGGAGGCCACCAAAACAAAGCCTCAGAGCCTATGGCAATGGGTATTAAGCAAGAAACAGGTGACTACACATTAATTACATGGGAATAAATTGCTCCCTTTAAAGCAAACTATTCTTCAAGCCTGGGAGATAGTTACAGAATGAAAGCTACAAGTCTTTGTTGGGCATCTGTTATGCGTATCACACTAGGTGGTCAGGATAAACTGTTGAATAAGATGAACATAATCCCTGCTTCTATGGAGCTTTCCATCTCAGGGAAGAGAAACATCGAAGAAAAATTGGTTTGCCATGATATACACATGGCAAACAGAACAAATAAAAAGTATAGGGAGCAATATATACATCTGTGGATGACAGAATTATGGTGCATAGACTATGGGAACATAACCAGGTCCTGGCTATGGGCAGGAATGGAGGTCCAGGGAGACTTTCCTGAGGAACTGCCCCCAGGAGGGCATTACATAGACTGTCTGGGAACTGTTGCCTTGAGGACGCTGGTGCACTCAAATGCTACCCTCAGTGAAGGGAGGCAGCACGAGACAGCTCACCACAATCCTCAAAGTTCATTTAACTAAGTCAAAGCACAGAGCTCTGAGGTTGCTCAGGCAGGGATTCATTCATTCTTTTTTTTTTTTTGAGAGGTTTTTTGCTATAGGGCGTGTGCGCTCGCCAGACAGAGAGAGACATAGAGACAGAAAGCGAGAAATCACCCCCCAGGGGGGATGGTCACGCCGCAATCACTTCTCCTCCATTCTCTTCTTGGGATCTTGGGCATGCACGCACACGCGCCCGGCGTGAGTTTTAAGCCACCGGGTCCGGGACACGAACCGCGGTTGACTACGTGGGAGTCCAGCGACATAGCCATTACGCTAACTGCTGATTCCCTCAGGCAGGGATTCTTCAGGGATTCACAAATCTGAGCATCCCAGAGTGAGAAACGATGCAGTTGGAAAGACAAAAGAAACAAGGACCAGGAACTCTGTTTTGAATATCTCTGGACTAAAACTGTCTTTCCTACAGTTCCTGATGGTCACTCCGACTCGTTTTTTTTTTTTTTTTTATTCTCAGAATATTCTCCACAGGGAGATCTTCTAGATTTCCAACTCAGAGTTTATGAGTAGCTAATGAATAGAATAGTTTCATGTTGCCTGGGACATGCATTCAATTTGTTCCTTCACGAATCTTGAGGAATATGGGGGTGGACAACGGTCTAATGGTAAAACACATTACTCCGTGAAGTAATTCCATGTGCAAATGTTCCTGGTTCCAGCCTGAATACTTCCCTGAGTATACCAGGCACATGCATGGTCAGATCCGGGGCAAGGGTTGTGGGGTGGCATCAAGACCTGGGGGTGCTGTGTCTCTGTCTTCCTCACTCATGGAAAGTAGGCAGGAATAAACTTGAACGACCTTTTTATGTTTTTTTCAAAGATTTTTGCAGTAGGGTGTGGTGCTTGCTGGAAAGAGAGAGACAGAGGTAGAGATAGTCAGTGAGAGGGGAAGGGAGAAATCTCCTTCCCCCACCACCAGGCAGGATGGTCATGCCACAGTCCCCTCTTCTCCAATCTCCTCCTGGGATTCTGGGCATGCACACATACGCATATGCCCAGCATCATTTTCAAGCTGCCAGGTCTGGTACTTGTACTGTGGTTGGCTATTTGGGAGTCTAGCACCTCAACCACCATACCACCTGCTTGCCCCACATTTAAACAGTCTTAAGTGGGCCCAGCAGGTAATGTGGAGGTTGGGGTGGCTAATTTTTGGTTACATGGTGTCTACAGGAGCAGGACGCTCTGGGAGCCCCTCCTTGGCTTTCCTTCCGTATGTCTTCCCACACCAGGTTGTTCTTTTGAATGTTATTTCTACATTTTAGAGGAGTAGAGTAAACCCGAGGTTCTGTGTTAAGTAGCAAATAATATGTGCTTTTCTCTTTTTGTGGTACTCAAGACTTTTTCTGACTTAAGAATTTAGGGTACAAAGCTATGAAGCTGTCCAATGAAAAAAATGTAACTTTTTTTATTCTAATTGAAGCATCCTTTGAAAAATTAAAAGATTTTTAAAGATTTTTTTTTTAAGAGAGATTTTTGCTATAGGAGATGTGTGCTTGCTGGAGAGACAGAAGGAGACAGAAAGGGAGAAATCACCCTCCAGGGGAATTGGCTACACTGCAGTCCCTTCTCCATTCTCCTCTCCGAATCTTGGGCACACACACACAAGCCCCGTGTGAGTTTTAAGCCACCAGGTCTGGGACTCGAATCAGAGTCAACTATGGTTGGCTATGTGGGAGTCCATTGACGTGACTACCACGCTATCTGCTGGTCCTGATCGATGATTTTTAAAATTAATTTTGTATTGTCAGAGGGCATGTGCGCTCATGGGAGTGGAGGGAGAAGAGAGAGAACAAGAACACCCCCCCCTTTTCTTCTTCCTGTTGGAATTTGGGGCATACATGCACACACGCCTGGTATGTTTTTCAAGCCTCCCAGGCCAGATTTGAACAACAGTTGGCTCTTTGGCTCCCTACGCACAGTGCTACAGGGCTGGCCTGAAGGTACATGATTTGTAGCCAGTTATGAATTTAATGTTTGAAAACTTGAATGGATTTTCACTGAAGTGTTTCTCTTTGACTTGTAGGTACTACTATTGATTGACATTCAAGTGTCCTACATCAACACCAACCATGAAGACTTCATTGGCTTTGCAAAGTACGTGAAACATCTGATTGTCACACATGTCCTCCCCCTCCAGCTGTCCCATCTAGAACACACACTGAATTTCTATTTCAGTCCCCCCAACTTCTGAAAGTACAGTCTGTGTCCAGATGAGCTCTGACTCAGCCTCAGAGGGCTGAGCTCCCTGGCTGCAGGGCAGGGGTTACTCTAATTTCTCGACCAAGTAGTTGGCTCTGGTATGCAGCACGTGAAATCATGTGTGCTTAGACACTCATTATTTTTGGATGACGATCTGCAGTTTGTTCTTGAACTCCCATAGATAAGCAGTAACAGATGCACATTTAAAATTTGGGAATGATTTCTCACACATATTTGAAGTATCAAGTGAAATTCACAGGATACAAGCTATTTCTATTTCCCTAAGTCAGAATGCAGAGGGCTTTTTAATTTTTTTAGGAGAGATTTTTGCTATAGGGCATGTGTGCACGCCTGAGAGTCAGAGACAGAGAGACAGAAAGCAAGAAATCACCCCCAAGTAGGGATGACCTTGCCACAATCCCTTCTCCATTCTCCTCTTGGGACCCTGGGCACTCAACGCGCTCAGCGTGAGTTTTAAGTCACTGGGCCCGGGTCTTCAACCGTGATTGACTACATGGGACTCCAGCGATGGAACCATTACACCATCTGCTGGTCCACAGAGGCCTGTTTTAAAAAAACTGTCCTGTGTGAACTTAGCTATAAGCTGTTCGATAAACATTCTCTTTTCTATAAGGTATAAAAACTTTAAATATGCCTTTCTGTATATATTACTGTCCATTGCAGATATTGTCATATAGATACAATGATTGGTTTTTGGTGGTTGATAATTCATCATATAATGTTTTTTTAACTATTATTTATTTTTGATTATCATCATAATCTTCTTTATATTACATTGGATTACATATAACTTTACAGTGTATTACATTGCTTTTTCAAAAGGGAATGCCATGCATGTCAGTCAATACAGAGACATTAATCTCCCCACTTCATTCAATATCTTTTCTATGTTTTTCCCAATCATTATTATTATTATTCTAATTATTTTTTTAAATAGTCAATCACTATTTCTCATTTTTCTTGTAAAAAGACTTTACTCATCATGAAATACTTCTCAGACCAATCCAGTTGAGAATACTGTATATGTCATCAATCATATAATGTTTTTAAGATCCTAAATTTGCTGTTTTCTCCTATTAGAGGATCAATTTTTGTTTGATTTAAAGAATATTAGTTCTAATTTTAATGTATATCTATGGCCTGCAAATGGATCTAATTTTAAATATATAAAAATGATTAGTTTTTAAAAATTCATGGGAAATGTGTATTATGAAAAATTATGCATGAGTTTCACATTTTTGGCACAAAAATAAACTCAAACTCAAATTCCATTTTCCATGAACATTTTGAGGTCCCCATGTAATAGCCTGTTTTATGTAAATGTAAAGTAGAAGAGTCTACGTGTTTTTACTTGAGCTAGGTATTCAAGAACAGGAATTTTTTTTTTTTTTAAAAGCACAACAAAATGCAAAATGAATTTATTTTATTATACCCCAACTCAGAAGAAACAGATACATAGAGCCTGTGACCTAAACTACACAGTGGCCTGAGGAATGTTTTGGGGAGAAAAGGACCCATTATCCAACAGGAAATTGTCTCGTTCTAAACTTGGCTGTAGCTGCGATGACCTAGCCAATAGTGTAAATATATTTTGCATTCAGTGGCCGTTAGCATTGAGTGGTAGATTAGCTTTCCTCGGCTGTTTTCTGTCTGTGATGTACGTGTTTTAGGTCACTGTGATAAATATTTTCCCTGTCTAGTTGTCTTTTCAGCCTCAGTGTCCACTCCAACTCCTAGGTAGGTATCTGTTACATGGGTGCTTCTCACAGAACTGTCCCCCTCTCTTCCAGCCCCCGTTACCCTCCCCGTTGGCACTGTTCATTTCCTTCTGCAGTAGCACCCAGGCCAAATATGCCTCCTGTCCCTAGATCTGGAAAGAGGACCTGAGATTTTTTTTCTCCCATCATCTGTGAATTACAGGTGGCCCGTGCCAAGCTCTACTCTGCTCTCTATGGGAGAAAAAAATAAAGAAAATATTCGGTCTTGCCTTATAGGATCTTGTCTAATAATCAAAAATTCTAGGGAAACACATGCAAACATGTAAATGGATGCATTCTCCATTTACTTCACTTGCTGCTTTGAGGAGTTTAAAAGACAAATCCTTGCATCTTGTGAAATAACAGGAACGCTGCCTTTAATGTTGATTTTTATGGCTTACAAATGCCAGTTAGGTTCTTATAAAAATGTAGCAGATGTAGATGTAAACTTGACACAATAACTTAAAAGTGGAAAAGGATGAAAAAGCAGTGCTGCCCTTCGTAGTATTCCAATTCAAGGGTAAGATGTAATACGTTTGGAGAGATTCACGTTTTGAACATATTATGTAACTAGTGCCACCACTTAACCCTCCCCCCCCACATATGCTTTTGTTTTTTTTTTGAGAGGTTTTTGCTATAGGGCACGTGCGCTCACCA